TAACGTGACCACGAACGGCATGAAATTACTGACGTCAGTCGTCTCCACATGGCTGAAATCTCTGCCATCACTCTGTCATGGTTTCAGGTATATTTGCTTATTTTAATCTGTAATACCTGAAGCACTCCTGTTGTTATTTTGTATTTATAGCTTGTGCGTCTACCTCAAAATTGAGAATTTTTTTGTACATGACGCAGTTTTTATGGTTAACATGCGCACTGTAGTAATTTTCAGTGTCCGGTATCAGGTCGACCAAAGAGATTTGCAGCTGCAAGGCTTGCTGTCAAGGAACGTGAGTATACGCCCTTCAAGTTCTGGTATCACCACTCTGAGAGATCATGCTGTCTTGTTCGTGTTTCTGGCATGCAGACGAGTGGAGTGAATTCCATGCTCGAGAAAATTACCAGTTAATGAGAACATTTTACTTCTCGCTATAATTTTAATCTCACACCTTTAATGTGCAAAGCAAACTGCATAATGATTGTCCTTGAATACCAGCTGCGTCTTTGCCCTATCATATGAATGTTTCGATATTCCAGTTCTTATTTTCCGTTTTTCGATTTTTTGTAATGTAGTTTATCATGTTCTGTATGTTGCATCCGTCAGTTGGATTTTTTTCAGGACTATGAAGCCATGTTTAAGCGCCAGCTTTTCCTGTTGCCTGATTAATGAAACGGGGGTGAACATCTGGATAAAGTCGAACGAGCATGGCAGCAACGAAATTTCGAAAACACACGCCAATGCGTCCGATGCCAAGAAGTGTAGTTGGATAGCCGTCGAACCTGACAAAGCTGTTTCAATACCTGTCAACAGCTACACGATGAAGGGCTCAATCAACGTGCGTACATCACTTCTGTCACAATGGTCCATTCCTTCGTTCTTTCTTTCAGTCACATGTAATGTAAACCGCACCACAAGAGCACGGGAGTTGATACACCCAACCGGTTTTCTGCTCCTTAGGTTTCTGGGTCTTGAGATGGCTTAGTCAGCTACGTAGAGTTGCACCAGTTTTGAATAGGAGGTTGCGTCTTGACGCAGCTTTTCACTCAGTTGGCGAACGTATGCCAAGGTGATGTACATCTTGTTATCAGGTGAGCGAGCGGGCAGAGGCTCTTCGTTTTGATAAACTTGCCAAGCCTTCGTTAAACGTTTTCACAGGATGGTCGTTCTTGTTTGAGTTTCGGTCTTATGTGATTTAGTTCTTGGCGAAACCCATAGTCTGTATTGCATATCTTCCGGCCTCTTTGGAGAAGTGTATTGACGGCACCTTTATTTACGCAATTTGGATGATAAGAAGAGTGATATAGATACTTGTCAATATGCGTCTTCTTGCGAAACACCGTTGTCAAATATTCCTGCTGGTGGTGATATCATGCTTGCACATCCAAGAAGGGTAGGCAGCCGTTTTCTTTCTCTATAGTGAAAACGATGAGGCTTGGGAATAGGCATTTTAGATGTTTCATAAACGGAGCTTCAGTTCCAATTTTTACATAGGGCAAATATGTCACCAGCATACCTTTTTAGCATTCAAACAACATGTGACTGAACTGTTAAACCGTAAGTCGTTAAACACGGTCTCCAAGATGTGCACCTGTTGCAGCGACAGTAGACTGCAGTCGACTGATTATGATGTTAACCGGAATTTTCACGTCAGGTTTTGATCCGAATATGGTGAGCTTCGTAGAGAGAACATTTGATTCAAAGTTAAAAGTCTTAGTATATCCACGTCATTCTTCGTAACGAGGTAGGTAAAAGAATGTCACTTTGTGGGAATGGAGAAGGAGACTGCACACTGTACTGTGCATTGAGCTGTAGATAGGCATTGAAGAAAAATGTAGCAGGGCACTCATGGCTGATGGCTTCGAAACAGAGAATAGCACTGTATCGTAAGTTCATTTAACGTAGATTGCAACAAACGGCATTTAATCCTGGAATCACGTCGAACCGTGGTTGAACGCAAAGCAAGAATCATTCTCCCAAAATATTTTTTGGCTTGAAACATAATTAGTCTTGTTGTTAATTTTTGTTTCAGTGCGTTATCAAACGGCTGCAGGTGAAGGTGGACGGTTTGTGTGAAATAAGTTCGGTGCCGATCGAAAACACTGGCACCTTCTACCGTATCGCGCACTACATGAACTCAGGAGACGCTGCAACGACGGTAATACTTTTGGCATTCGTTAAATAATCATCTTCGACGTTCAGAAATCGTTGTACTGTCGCATCGCGTTCGTCGTAACCCTGGACGAAGGCGGTCAGAAAATTGTCCGCATCCGATCAAGTCTTTTGATTAGCAATGAAACCGACGACACCTTGCAGCTCCGTTTCGAAAATAGCATTCTCCCGTCAGGAGGCCAGTTGTTACATTTTAATTTTGTTTTTTAATACTTTTTTTCGTTTAATTTATCGCAGCTTAGTCCTACGGGCTTCGACGATTTATCCCATCAGCTCCTTGTACAGGAGATTTTCCGATAGCTGCATGTTTGTTGTTAACTCTTGGTGTTTGAACACCCACTGTGCCACGATGGACCTCGCATAATATATTCTGTTTAAAGATCTAGCTTGTAGGAGATACAGCGCCTTACTTTCTATTCTTAGAAGCACGAATAACAAGAAATAAATCATTGTCGCTGTTTTATCTATTTATCTATATTTAATGTTTTGACCGAATCGGCATCTTTCATCAGGCAACAGTCAGTAACACGTATCATTGTCTAGGTCAGTAGGTGTTTGATGTTTGAACTCGACTGGTGGAATGTTTGATTCTGATAATGAGTCAATTATTTAGATGCGTATCGCTAAAATGTGAAACGAACTTTTGCAACCGTAAAGCGTCCTTGGATTGAAATCTTCACTAGCCTTATGTGAATTTGATAGAATTGTCGTATCTCGATTATTGTCTTTCTGCTAGTTTAATCGAAATCTACGCTAATCATCTGAAGCAGACGGTAATTCTATCGTAAATGATGCCATAATTTAACTTTATAGTTTCGGAATTTCATTTTGATACACGTTAATGTCATTAAGATGTCTGTTATTAATGCGAATAGCTTTGGGCGTCGCACAAGATTATTTTCCTTTCTATTTTATTTAGATGTTTCATCTTCCTTCACAGATTATTTCAAGGTCATGATGAAACCGAATAAGATTTATTTCAGAGCACAAACGTCATAACCAGATGGTGGCGTTTTGTTTGTTTAATTAAATGTTTTTTTTTGTAAATTGGAACATGTTGGAAACCACTGCAGTCGAAGTTATCGAATTTGTTGAAAGCTCATTTATCATAGGGCTTCAAATTTCTGCACAGAACTGTTCAAATATAAAATTGGGCATTTTTTATCAACGTGCCAACTATTTAGTTACGTGCATCATCCTCACTCTTTAGGTTTTAATTCTGCAGTTTCCTTATCTAAAGTGCCAAGCATAGCTGAAAAAAATCGACTATTTGAAAGAAGTGTGAGTTTAATGTATGCCTGCTAAGGAGTGACCCTTCAGAAGTCACGTGGCTACGAAGACCCGCGTGTCGACAACGTAAAATCAAATAACATGCATTTCATTGCGTGATCTCCTTTGATATGTCTATGGCGTGGAGCTAAATTTCAAACTTTTGCATGACTGATGACGAATCAAACTTTTTAACCACTTGGATCAAGCAGCTGACGTACGACAAGTGGCATATGCGAACTGAACAATCTAATCCAAGGTAATGGCCGCTGCCAGGGAATATTTCATGTATTTCATACGGCTAACCATTGATTTAGAGGATGTTTGGATGCATGGCATGGCATCGATATCAGTTTAAGAAATTTAAAAGAAATAATAAAACGATTAACCCTCATATTACGGGGCTTGCTAGCAAATTGCTAATTACCTACGCTGTTGGCAAAAATAACAATCTCCTGTAACTTCCCCGGATTGTTACGACGTTGCCGTACCATCTCCTTGCTTCTAGTAGCCTGCGAGACCATTTAAATAGTTCAGAGACCAGTGATAATTTAAATAATCATCCATTTGACTTGTCTCCAGGCTACTGGAATCCAGGGACAGTGCGACTACTGTACGAATTCAGAGAATGCTAAGAGTGGTGTTATTCTTGCAGCAGAAAATAGAAACTGGCTGTATGCTAGCGAGTCCATAATCCTTTGGCTAATTGTTTAAATATGCCGACGGATTGAAGTATGTCCATTAATCTTCGACCTTACAAAGTGGTGTGGTTTTATACCAAGGCAACTCAGATGCTCAGAGATCATGTATCACTGACTTTCTTAAATGCCCCCCCCCCTCCCAGTGGGACGTTGCGAGTATGCCGTGCAAGTCCGAAGTAGTGACTGATGATTGTGAAAGAAATAACTTGCTTCTCATCAATCGTACTTCAGGCGTCTCTTTATTTTCATAAGTTAGTAAGCGCAAAGTATGTTAATACGCGTTTAAGTCTTTCAAAACCGAATTGCGCCGTTCCTGTGCTTCTAGTTGTCAGAGCGCCAAAATTTATTATGCATAAAAATAAATACTGATCTTACGGGCTTAGTAGCTTATTGCTAGTTTTTGATATCGCCGTTAAGAAAAACATTATATCGGCCCTACCCAGTGTTGTCATTTTGTATCCCTGCACTGCAACTGCTCGAATTCCATCGAGTCATAGCCTGCTTAAATGATCCCTTAGGCCACTGGAAGCTAAAGGGCGGTATGATTATGCCACGTAAATCCGGTAGTAATGGGAAAGTTTTTTTTATGCTTAAATGTGAAAGTCTCTGCAATGTGGAATAATTTTTTTACCTAAACTTTTATTTTTTAGGCGACCTCAAGATTGCATTGCAACCAAGATCCGTGATTCCTGTTCCTATCAGCTATTGTTATTCCAAGATGTTCATTCGCCCCGGAGAATATTTTTCTTTCAGCGGCCAAATTTGTTGGCTAAACACTACCCGAGTGGAATGCATTTCTCTTACTAGCAAGTTTCCTACTAAATTTTACCGGTAATTAATTTTTTTCGTCGATTGTTATTTAAATTGGAATGATTCAGTTTCTTTTAATGTTCACGACATCGGTGTTTTATAGTCTAGCATTGTTACTCTTATGGTCAGTATCTTTTTAAATCGATAAGTTAAAATAGATTTATCCAGATGGATGACGTACGGGTCGGTTGAAATGACCTTTCAGATTTATATAAAATAAGTTGATGACAGAGCGTGATAATTCTGTGAGACGCAACGAGAAGAAGGTGCGACACTGTTATAGATCTTTTACAGAAGAAAAAAATAAATTGCTTGTTTCAATGACAAACTTTGAAACTCATAAAGGTAAATTATAAGTTATGCCTTCTCATCTTACGAAACGTTGGGAACCGGGTTGTGCACATTACCACTCCGTTTTTATCTGACTCTATGATATTTGGAAAAGACAAGTAGCAATCACAAAAGACATAACTATATTCGGCTTAGCATAACTTGTGTAGTGATTGTTGCAAGGGCCATCTGCAGCCGTTTTTTTGAACGCTGTGTGTAACGGATAGTCCGTGTTCTTCATTACAGGCAATTTCGCTTCATTGACTGCTATGACAATTCATACACGTGTTTTATGCGGTATTTTCATATTTTGTATTGCGTTTTTTTGTAAATCTGGTGCCAGTCGAAATTGCAACTTCACTTGACATTGGAAGCTAGCAGAAGTTGTGAACCTGACAAGCCTTATGTACATTCCATGCAATTGAGCATTTCCCACACAGTATCACAAATCAGTAGTTTCTATCACACGGTCTTACGATAGCAAGGACCAGTTATTTTACGTCATTTTTGTGTCCGTATCCTTTCTGCTGGAACTGTTTACGTGAACTTGAGGAATATCACTCAAGTACACTTGATCATCTGAAAATCTGGCTTAACGTGGTGGCGGACATTGCATGTGATCGGCAGTGAAAGGTGAGGAGATGTCCTGAAGCGATTCCTTACGTCATTGGAGTCGGCTAAGTCCGTGATTTTACAAACTTCCATAGGTGTGGCCGCCTTTATATCGGTAAAACCGTCTGAGTTGTGATGTTTGGAAACGATAAACATGAGTGATCTATCATTTGATTCATCATATTTTGGAGACGGTACGTGAATCATGTTCTGAAGATGTTTTCCGAGAAAGCCGTCGTCTTTTTTAGCAGGTCGGCATCGCGTACCGTTGTTTACGGCAGTATACATCTGCGGACACTGTCAGATACCGTTATTCCTTTATGTGGTATTTGTTTTAATGTACTGTTACTCGTATATGCTTTACAATTTTTGTTATTTACGTGATGTTATTAAGTTTTTTTACTGAAAAACAGGTCGTTTCTTCTTTTCAGTCTGATAACGTGTGTCGAAAATGATGTGGATGAAAGCAGCATCTCCTTTGCCCTGCCGCGTCGCACCCTCAGGATTTATTCACCAGCGATCATACAGAATGCGCTGCCGGTTGACCTATTCGTGTCGATTCCGTCTGA